ACACAATCGTGTTGACCTCACTGAGCAGATTAGCATTACCTACTCAAGTCATTTGCTGTAGGCTTCCGTGCTGAGTCCAAGACCCGGTGAGAAGATGAATGGATGCATAACAATGCTATTACTATTGGTCACTCCAAACAACTTCGTAATCACCATTCGTCTCATCCAACTCTTTCCGAATCCTCTGAAATGTATCCAACATTTCAGAGCTTCCGCTGTGAATGCGAAGCTGTAAATCATGCCGCTCCCAGATTTCTAGCGGATTGAATTGCATCATGGTGAACTTGTTCTCACTCATGCTTTCCTACTATAATCTCCAGTCGACAAAATCGAAAACAAACATCGCGCATGCGCGAAATTAATATTATTATATTACGATATTTTGCTCATCACACACTCTATATATGTGTGTATGCGTGTGCCTCTGCATATATATGTATGTGTGTGTATGTATGTACCTGTGTGCATGCATATATATATATATATATATATATATATATATATATATATATATATATATATATCTATTGAATATGGGCATCTCAGAAATGATCTTATTGAACTGGATTTTATGATTACGTGTTCGAATTCAAGTCAATCGAATGCCTGTCAATAATCCCTGTTTACTATTCTTCTATACTGAAACGTTTACGGCAAAAGGAGCTATCGCATTGAAGAACTTGAAGCCGGGTGGAGAAATTTCTTGTGATCTATATTATAAATATAATATCCAAACAACCAAAATCATGATAATCGTCTGAATAATTCGTGGACGAAAGCCAGAAATTATTTCCAGAACTTGTAGTTTCACTTATGCTTTGAATCTATTTTAGATAAACCTTCCTGTGTTAAAATTGAAAAAAAAATGAAGAAAAATTCAATGTTGAGAATATTTTTAAATTGATTGGGAATGAACGAAAAAAAAAATGGAGCTCGATTTGAATCTATTAGAAGCAAAACCTCATTCATCAATATACTGATTGGTATTGATCTTGCATAAGATCAATTGCCCAAGACCATTGATCAGATATTCGGGCTATATCTATAAATTGTTCGTTGTATTGCCAACTGAATCAATTCAATTCAAATTATCCAACGACTTTGTAGATCATCGTGATACAGTTTTGGGTCTTTTATAGCGTATCTCACTAAAATGGGCTTACTTGCCTCTACTCACTTACTTTTCGTGTTATATAAAACACGATCTACCAGCATGCCATTAGCAGGCTATAATCGCTTTCTGAAATACAGTAATTTGATGTGTGTATTAATACGTTGGTTCTCAATTGACTATTTTTAAAATACCGGACCCCTTAAGAACATGGCAAAGAATAAGCTGTTGTCTTTTTTTTTTTAATTATCTGCTAATTATCATCTAAATCTAGCGAATGATTTTCACGTTGAATTTGAAACAGTTTTAAAATCAAAATTTTCTTTTTCGGAAACTAATTGCCAACCAAAGCTAAAGTTCCTATTTAACTATTTAACCCATTGCTAGGGACTGAAAAAACGGGCCCAATATTTTAACTAATACAACACTGAAATCCTAACACGTATTAGCTTAGCGAAAAATGCTTTCCAAAAGCTAAGCAAATTAACAAGAGGAAAATTTCGATAAAACCAAAGAAAAGAGTACTGAATTACTATGCGATACCAATCATCTTGTATAGCGGCGAATGTGAGGCAATATCCAATTCGATGAAAGGAAAATTGGAGGCAACAGAAATTTGGTTCTACAGAAGGATACTGAGAATTATATGGACAAAGGACCTAAGGATTGAGGCGGTCTTAAACATAATGATAACAGAAAACAAAAACAAACACATACCCAGAATCAGAAAGAGGGAACAGATTTATTGGACACATAATGAGGAAAGAAAGTTTGAAGAATTTGATACTCACAAGGGCAAGAGAGTTTAGGGAAGACAGCAGCTAAATTACCTGAAGCGCTTTTGTGGATTGACAGGGGAACGGAGACAGGAAGCTTGGCAAAGTGAGAAAGGCTGCTAAGTTTCCCGACGAATAAGAAGTTGTGGAGAGCCATGTATATCCATGTCCTGAATAGGTCTTAGATAGGTTTGCCTGTCGTTTCAGTTTAATTTCAATTCCTTTATTTCAGCTAGGTGTACTTGCCATCGTAATATAATTTTTTAGTTTTTAATGCATGAACCATTGGCAACCATTAATAATTTTTTACTAGTATTTATACTAGTAGTGAATATTTAGTAGTATTAATTTTATCTCGGACTTCATTCATTGTAGCTTTGTCAAAAATTTTTAACAAATCTTGTACTTTGAATCTTACTGTTATTGCTTTTCGCCACAGCTGCAAAATCACAATACATTCTACGAAAATGAACAAACCGTGCATATATATATATATATATATGGCTACAATTTTGACGATAACGTATCCAATGTTGATCTCGCAAAATGCAAATTTGTAGGAATTGAGACTTTCCTGGTGCAGTCAGAACCTTGCTATGCTCGTCCTGTTGCAAGGATCAATGACGACAGAATAATTAAGATCCTCATGTATAGCCAGCTAAACAGTGGACGAAGGACAGTTGAACGACCCTGGCTCAGGTATAAAGAGAAGCTAAAGAATAACCTCTCAACTGTCAAAGTGCTTCGTACTAACATTGAGTGA